CATTTCCATCTTCTAGTGTATGTGCCCTGCTAGGTGCTTTACTAAAAGGGAGTATATTCTCTAAGAAAATAAAATAAAAACAAAAGTAAACAAAACCAAAAACAAATCAAAATATTTTAACAATGTAAAAACCGATGAAAAAAGGAATATATTTTCCCAAACAAAAAGAGAAAGATAAATGTAAACATTAAAAATGAGAAAAGGAATATACTCACTTAAATCTAACACTTACAATCCTGTGGGTTTGTTGCACACCCTGACATTGCAGCAATGATAAAAATGCAATCCATTGTGCAGCCCAAGATACAATAATTCTGACATTGTTAAGCTGAAGATGAGTAACTTTTAAACCGACTCTACCATAGGTACACCTGAAAACAAACATAATCTGTTTTCGTTTATTTTGAAATATCTCACACATCCACTGGAGTGGAGTTGACTCCTGCCTCGGCTGTGTGCTGCCTGCCTTTCATGCTGCTCCCACAGCCTGATGTTCAGAGAAACCTGTGAAGACAGTAGGCATGTGTGAGTCAGTCAGACCCCCATACGATGACAACAGAAGGGAGGATTTACTGGAAAGCCCTCAGCTTAATATAGCGATGCGGTGGGGGAGCTGGGGTGATTTTGTGATTTGCCTGGGCATAGTAAGAGGATCACTGTCCTGGCGCGTTGATGTGTGAAAGAGAACAAGCGAAGCATTTCAAGATAAGTGTGCATGCCAGACTTGAAACTGTGAAGTTGTGCGTCTGTGCGCCGATATCGTAGTTTCACATGTGCACGTTTTGCTTCAGAGCCGCTCGTTCTCACAGGCAGGGCCTGGGAAGTGAAAGAGAAGGAGAAGTTGTTGTACTGAATAAATGCCTGGCTACCCTTCAGGATGATAGAGTTGGTGTGGGAGGAAACTAAAGTTATAAAATACGCCAGCTGAATCATTAGAAACTGAAAATACTTCATAATGATCAAAATAATAAGTGGGTATTTTTTCCCATTTGCATATGATAATAGTTGTTTTTTTTAATTATGGGATGTGTTTTGGTGCGAAACAAATACCAAAACAATAAATACCAATAGAATTGTGCATTGTTTTGCACAATTCTAGAGACACGCATAAGATGGTTTATGCTTCTTGTTAACGTGTCCTATGGTACGAATGCAGACACTCAGTGGGTTCACACTTACAAGCTGTGAGTGGGTGGAATGACACCTCTACGTTACCAGCATCTGAGCAAGGCGAGGCTGTGTTTGCATTGTGGGACTCAGAGAAATGCAGCAAGTGCTTTTTGACCGTCCTCAATTCAATTTTGTGTAAGTTGCTCACGGACAAAATCAGTTGCTTGTAATTTTTATTAACGTCATTCGAACGTAAAGACTAAGATATCCTGCTGTACCAACATGAAACAGAGCTACCAAAGTACACCAGAGACAATGCAATAAATTTACACAAACCTGGAATGTTCTACAAGATTATGAAAAAAAAATAAACAAAAAAAAAAAAAATAGGCTAGAAGAAACCAAAGCACCAGACTGAAGACTTTTGTCATCCAGTTTTTGGTAGAAAGAGAGAAAAGAGAAAAACAATAAAATTCTGCAAATGGAAATTAATGAGTTTGTTTCAGTTTGTGATTATTTCATTTGTTGCTTATTGCGACACGTCTAGTAGCAAGAAATCCTCGTGAAGGAGGCTGATGTGCAAGCACATCTTCAGTTTGTGTTTCATCTATAAGATCCAGAAGAATTTCTTTTTACTGTGTTTCCAGCATGGAGTCCAACACATCACTCAGTTGAGGTTATACCCAGACTCTGAGTGTGGAAGACCGACAGTGAAACTATGACTGATTATTTCTGATTCAGCAAATGTAATTTATAACTTCTGTAGGGTTACTGCAGAGCCGACTGAACAGTGCGTTGGTAGAGTTTCATGGGACACAGTTTTTTTGCGTTCTCCAGAGCGACAGCTGCGGTTGGAATTGAGAACTTTGAGTTTTAGCCATAACCCTGTGAGTCCTACAGAGCGTTAACACGTTCCAACCACTTCAAAGTCAGAGAACATTGCTGACATTCACAGATAGATTCCAGTGTAAAGATGATGTTTTGACAATAGTATTTTTTCATCGTAAAGGTCAAATGAATTGACGCCACCCTTGTTTTAACTAGGTGTGAGTACAGAAACAAATACAGAAATGAATGGAGAAAACTGTAAATTAGAGAAATGACTACTCTTATCTCATTCAAAAATTAAAAGCATAGGAATAATAAAATGAGTCAGTTTAATTTATATGTTATGAGTTCTGGCAAATTATTTCACTTGTAGCATGGGAAAATGTCTTGTTATAAGTGAAATAACCTGCTAGTGCTTTTGAAATCAATATTAATGACTTATTTACTTTAGACAAACTCTGAAAAGTTACTTATAAGTTTGTTTTACTGTATTTGAAGTGTACTAAGATATTAAATAGGCCAAAACTAGGCCAAAAACACTTGGCAAAGATCTTGTGTTTCTGCAGTGCAGTTTGTAACAATGGTTCCTTATTAAAAGTTTAACTTAGAAGACCTGAGGTTCAGTTATTTGCAAAGATGCTTTCACTATTCCCACATGGTTTTTTAACGGCTCCTATGAGTTAGCGTGACTGTTTTCTAACCATTTCTTATCACAACAGAGACAGAACAACCACAGGAAGTGACAATGGGAATTTTCCTTTGAATATAAACTCCAGATAGCATTTTGAAACCAATGTTGTCCCAAATTTAGATGATCACTCTCACAGCTCAGGCATTTATCAAAATGACAATGTGTAAGAAATATACACACCTTTTGACAACACAACAAATCTGTTCCGCCCCATGAATTTGACCAATATAAGTATTAGGACTGGAGTTAGATATTGGTATTGTGAGCTGTTGCTATGTAGACATTTGTTATACGTGGACAAGTCTCAGTTTGGACCAGAGCCGCTGTGCTGTATGAAACTGCTGCTTTGCTTTCTCAGGAGGCTTTTGTCTCTGTCTGTGGGTTCGTAAAGCAGCCGTTTCTCAATCTTTAACCACCTAAAGTGGCGTCACTAGGTCACATATTAAACAGAGGAAATAACAAACCAGAAGAGTGTATAGTAGTAGGATAAAGTTTTACACACAGGTGGAGACATATAGTAATCTGTGTTTTATGGTTTTTCACTGTAGGTCAGCCTCATGAAGAATAATAATTAGCTTGCGTCTTGAGTAAAAATCCATTCATTAATGAGAATGGAGATGTTTTGCTTCAACGTCACCAAAAAGCACTTTCACCAATATGTATTTGACCTGACCTCAGGTTCTCCTCACTTATCAGGTGTGTGTCCTAGTGTACTTGTCTATATATAGATGTCTGGCCCCTCCATGTCTGAGTGACTAGGTAGGGTTTCTTGTCTCCGTAGGTTTTCATTTCTCTCTTTCTGTTGCCTGCCCTTCTGCATTGTCTGTGGTTCAACCAGTTCCTGCCTGTCCTGTGATGTTTTGAAGATCTGTAACTGCTCCGTTTCCCCTCCACAATCGTCAGCATCTGTCTGCGTCTCGTTCCACAAATGCCGTCTGTCACGCACATTGTACAGAAACCCAGAGTGCTGTCACAAGCAGCCTCTGCTTTTTCAGTCTCAAACCTGCAGCTGTTTGTGGAGTTCAGGTTAGCTTGTTCACCAACACGTTGGCGATGAGCGTCTGGCCCGTCGCACTTGGAAGTTAGTCTGTTGAGCTGTCGTCTTTGGCTGAAACCGAGAACACTTCAAGCGGCAGAATGTATTTGACGGGTCAATTTGCAAGTACGTCTGGTAGGAACTATATGATTCTCTGAAAGTATGATGCAACCTGACGTAGTTTTCTTCAGAGGCCTTCGTAGTTCTTGAGGGAGACGTGGTTTCAGCCCAGTTTTCACATCCTCATCAAAAAATTTTTAACTTTCTTCCTCAAAATATTTACATGTTCTCCAATGAGTCCATGTCGACAGCGGTGTCCTCATGACAGTTAAAGGATTTGGATGACATCATCGTCACATGTTTGGGTCAAAACACAACAGTAAAGACGTCTAGGATGGCGGCTTGTGTTTTCTCTATGCTTCTTTCTCTCCTTCTGTCCCTTCAAACCTTTTCCTTCACCTTTCACTCTTTCTTTTCTCCTTTCTTTTTTGTCTCTGTGTCCATTAAATTTGAAATAAACTACAAGCTGTTTCTATTGCAGTTTCATATGTACATCAAGTGGAACATCATGGTGAAAGCTGTAACACTCCACTTGTGAAAGTAAATCTATCTGACCTCACCTTGATACTCAGACCACAATTCCGAGTACAGTAGGGTCATTCATTAGAACGAGGGATCACCAAGAGAAGGCCCTATTCACCAAGCATGTCACTGGTAATGCACTCTAACTCTACTGGTTCTCCTCTTACAGAGGGAACATGTGCAGACCTGTCTATTTTTTTTTCTTTCAGTTTACAGCTTGAGGTTTCAATGGAAACTTCTGCTTTTGCAGTAAAGTGCTATCAGGCTACACTACCACCCTTCTTGGGAAAGTAAAAGTTGCCTGCTAAAGGGAGGCTGCGAGACCGATCTGCTGATGCATGTGGGAGCCTGGCTGCTAAAGGGAAGGCCTGTTTCCATTGATAAGAGCTCATAAGGGTCCTTGTGTGTATTTTCAGCCTGAGTTCATTTGTATTCAGTGATACAACAGGACAGATAGCAGGTCAGGCTGCTGGATAACAATCGTATCATTAAAAAAAATGTCAAATATGAGGAACCCCAGAATACTTTTTGTTTTATTCAGGAAGTGTGTCTGCACAAAAAGGCAATTTAGATTTTTTTGTTTTTTTCTTTTGATTTGCCTTTGTATAGTCAGGGACTGGCTTTTTTTCATTGAACCCTGTGGTTGATGAGCAGGCACTTTTAATTTATTTGCTGAATGTCACTCTACTTGCAAACCACAGATTTGTTCCTTTTTTCTCTCTGTATTTCACCTTTTTTGCTTTTCCATCACAGCTGACAGCCATGAAGACCCGAGTGGCGGATCATCTAACGACTGTGTTTTTTATCATCAGCCTCCTGTCAGCTGGTAAGACAACACCTTTCTCAGTGTGGACTTGTCCATGCTCAACTCTTGCTATAGTTTAGTTTCAGCTTACTGTGGTGTAATGTAACAAATCCAAACATTGTTGACTTTTGGCATTAGTGATTTCAATGAACTGAGAAAAAACTGTCGGGAAAAAAAAAGAGAAATAACAGAAAAAAGTCTTGGTATTTATATTTTTCCATTATTTTGTGCTTATGCTGTTTCCTCTCATATCTGCATTCAAATAATTTCAAACTGGGAAACTTTTACTTATTGCATGCAGACTAGTGTGGTTGACTGGGTTTTGATGGCTTAACACTAATAAACATAGCACATGCAACCAATAAAACAACATTTTTATTTAGAAATGTTCTGTTATGGCGACACAATAATGGAGAATACAGACAGTTGTCCAGTAGACAGTCACTGACACCCTGACTGCAAGGCTTAACACTGACAGAGGTGGAAATGACCTACCAAAGGTCATTTACTGAGCCCTTTATTAAGCATATTAATAAAAGGTTTAGTGGAAGGGAAAAAGCAATGCCACTTTGAGAGCATTTTGAAGTAAATAACATTCAAAACGCTCTATTGTTCACCCTCACCTGAAACACAGACATTATCAGAAGTGTCTTACCAAGATTAAGGAGAAAAAGAACATGGCTCAGGAGTCACAGTTCTTCTTTTCAGATGAAACTAAACTTTGTATTTCATGTGGAAATCAAATTCTGTATGAAAAGTGGAGAAGAACAGAATCCACATGGGTGGATGACTTGAGGAGCATTGCTAGTGTTAGTTCACTGTTTCCCCAAAGTCAGACAAGGAGTCACTTCATGCTGAGAGGCGTTATGGAGGCAGTAGCTGCCAAGGCACCCACCTCCTACTTTAATGACCATGCTGTCATTTGTGTGGTTTGCTGGCAAACAGACCTTACCTGAACCCCGTAGAGAATCTGAGGCATGACTACACATGTTGCTATTTAAGCAACCTGAGCTTCCTGAAGTCCTCAGCAGAGTCCCGGGATGAGCTTCTTCATGCCAGTGAGGCAGGAATTCTTGCAGAGTCCCAACTACATACTGAGTTACATTATATTCATTAAACACACATTTCTGTATTTAAACTCCCTTTTTTATTGACCTTGTCTTTGTAAGATTCAAAGTTTCTGAAAAATATGAATCCTTCATTATAAAAATGAACAGAAATCCTCAATGTTTTTAAATATCACACAGAAATGAAATAACCAAACTATTTTTGTCAAGAAAAGGCGGCGTTGTGAAAGAACAGTCCTGTTTACTATGATTTGCTTTTCTAACTTGTCCTCAGAAATAGGTGTGATCAGTAGCTCTGCTGACACATTTGGAATCTTCTTGACCTCAGTGGTCTGTCACTTGTGCAATCACTCTTTCAAGAATTATCTGCAAAACGATCTTTTTATTCTTTCTTTAGTGATAGTTAAATAGGAATTCACACCACTCAGAACTATTATTTACTCACTAATTCAAAACGTCAGGAAACACTCTTTCCCAAAAGTCGCATCAAATCAGACAGAGGTGGAAATGACTAAATATAATAAAACATTGCAGCATGTACCGTATATGTTACTTCACTTTGTAATCACTAAGAATGACCAGCGTGATGTGGATGTGTCAGAATGTAAATTGTCATCACTGCATCCATCTGATCAGAAAATATTCTAATTGACTTTTATGCAGATTACATTTGAATATTTCAGAAATATATGGAATGTGACATTTCATTTAAGCAGATTGAATTGATCTGGACATTTACATTCATGCTTCAATTTAATCATTACTTGATTACTGTGATTCATTTTTCAGCTGTGGGGTGTTCACAACTTCTCTATGTTAGACAGAACAGGGAAGTGGCATATCTCAGGTGGAATAACTGAGTAGTTCTTATAGTAGGCTAAAGGAGTGCAGAGGACGGATGACATATTTATGGAAGGTACAAGGTAAAAGAAGCTTTCATTGTGACAGTTTAAGGGGATTTTTGGAAGTATTTACAGCTGAACTCTGCTGTATTAATATACGTCATCAAAGATGTATATGATCGACTGTGAGACGATAAATGTTGGAAATGTGGAAAAGACGCTGGTACTTATCTTCATGTTTTTGGAAGCATCCCTCTGTGTTTTTCTCTTTGGATGAAAGTCTTTGTAAATAAAAAAAAATGTACTGGACTATCCGTACCTAAATCACCCTGGCTGTGTCTATTTGGAGATATATTTCTCATATATTTGCAGCTGGAGATTAATTTAGGATGTTTGGGAGTAAAATAAAAACACAATAAAACTTAAATTACAAAATAAAATAACATAGTTATCAGGGATTGATTATTTTTCTTGATAGTGTTAGGGCAGCCATATTCTGAAGAAATGAGGTAACTGTAGGCAACTCAGATAATTTAAATGTGTTAAAAAGGGAATAAAGTTTATCTAAACTCATAATTCACATGTATAATAAACATATTTGTCATTTCAACAGGTTCAAGTGAACATGACCTTTTTCTGGAGTTTTGTGGCAAATGGCGCCACGGCAACAAACCCTTGAACGTGGACATCGACGTCTCTCCAGGCTGTGAGGGGCTCAGCGTTTCAGCCAATGAGAGTTCTCTGTTTGTCAGAGGAAAAATCACTGCCGAGTGTAATAGGACTCAGGTGATTTCTCTCGACAAATATGTAATTGACCCAGATATGAACTTCTGTCTGCACTGGGAGCCTCTGCTGGACCAGATGATGCTTAAGGTGAGTCAGTAAAAGAAGACCATGCTGGTTGTGTTTTGATTGGTTGAGCTCACATTTCATTGTGGATTCCTTTATCTGTCTTTTAAAAGCCTGTTGTTTGGTTTTGTTTTTATTGTTTTCTTATTAAGGTTGGAAAAAGAAATCTTATTCTTTGCCCTCCTTCAAGTCCTGCACAAAAATGTTGCACAGATTTAAGTAATGGGGCCAATATGCCTGAAGCAGAATATGGTATCGCCAAAGGAACAGTCCGGAATGATCCGCTGCAAGAGAAAACATTGGAAGGCTACAACTTCACGGGACAGCACACCAACTGCAGTAAGACGGATGGATTTTATTAAATGAAAGGTGTAGAAATGAGTTAAATTAGCGACATAAACTGTTCATGTTTAGCTGTTTAGTTTATTTTATGCACTTTTGTTCATTTCAACGTTTAAATGTGTTAATGTGAACAAAGTGGCCCAACCCTATAACTTCTTCCTCTACAGAGAAGTTGTGTGACCAGGCTAAAGGGCTCGTCAAAGGGTATGTTTTTTTTTTTTTTCACCCTCTGCCAAATTTCATGACAGTGTTTTAGACGACACCCTTCCTCATCTGCGTTTGTGTTGACTACTAATTTCACTGATTGGAATGCTATTGTAAAACAGGAAGCATTGTTTGTGCCTCTGAGATAAAGTTGCTTCTTTTGAGTTTGAAGATGTTTCTGTTCATATTTCTGGGACAGGTTTCGCAACACCGAACATCCATGCGCTCAGAGATATGAGCAAGAGATGAAGAAAGATTTCAAAGGGAATAAAGTCTCCAAAAGTGGACCAAAGCAAAAGGTTTCATATCAATATTATATTTAGACTTTCTGAAGAATAGCTAGTCATATGCTCTGTTTTTCAAAACAAAAGTTTGCTTATTTTGTGCTATAATTTTTTTAAAATAACTTTCTCATAAGTTAATTTACAGTGTGTCTAAAAAGTATTCACCACTCTTGCATGTTCCACCCTCTTTGTTGCAATTACAAACAACAAAAAAGAGTAAAACACACAAAAGGGAGTGAATACTTTTTAGAGGCTCAATCCAAAATACACCTTCAATTCTTTACATTTCGTTACAAATACAAATTTTAATGTCTTTTTTTTAGGTTTTATGTGAGAGACCAGTACATATTTGATGCATAATTGTTAATTAAAAGAAAATCATACATTTCAAACTTTCTTAGAAATAAAAATTAGGAAAGTGTCATACGTATACATTCAGTCCCATTTCCCCTGATGCAGCTAAATAAAATCCAGCTGAAGCAGTCGCCTCCATCTGTTACCTGATTTGGTTAATAGAGTCCACCGCGATGTAACGTATCCTTTGTATAACTACTCTATGAGGAACATGGTGGTGACAGCATCATCCCCAGGGAAATCTGCCTTTTTGCAGATGTGGAAATTAAATTTTCATAGAAGTGTGCCGCTAACTTAATGTGTAATATAAAAGAAGAAAATATGATTACAATAATACAGCTGCTTCTTCATACTGATGTTTTGAGAAACACTGAAGTAGAAGCTGTCACAAAACCTTCAGCCTTTAGTTACAAATCTGTAATAAAAAACACAATTTTAAAATGTAAAACTATTTCTGAGTTATAAAAAACAAATAAAACAACGTCATTGTTTTTATCTCTTTTACAATTAGCAGTAGTCTGGTACTTTCTACCAGACTACTGACTACTGCCGGTACTGCGGTTGTGGTGATCTGTAGTCGGATCACCACCACCAAACTACTGTTTTCTAAAACATCCTGATCTTCAAGAGCAGAATCTTAATCCTTCATAACACAAACTTATTTAGCAGTTTAGTCATAAGATACAATTAGAGATTAGAACCGAAACTGTAAACCGAGCAGCTTTACTCCAGATTTAACTACTTTTTTGGTCACTGAAAGAGAAAAACAACAAACCAGACACGTGGGAACCCAAAGCCACAGTTTGCAGGTCGCTCTCCCCCCAGTTTGGTTTCACTATGAGCCCACTACAACACTTCTTCTCTTTGATAATCATAAATACTGTGTGCAGTGGCTTAATTACTGTAAATTCCTACATAATCAACGTCTAGCAGCTGCAGCTCTGTGTGATGGAATCAATTCATACGTAAACCGTAACTTCTGTTGCTTCGGCTCTGACAGCCGTCAGTCGTCTAAAAGTATTTTGTGTTTTTAACTTGTTGCTCTGAAGAATGCAACATGAAAATGGTGGTTTTACGTGTCCATTTGTTACAGACTGCAGCATTTCAACCACATCGGTAGCAGTGTGATTCTATCACAGACACCACATTTCACCCGCATCTTTCTGGATCAAACATACTTTCACACCTTAGAACAACATTTCTTATGATTTGGGGGAGTGAAAACGGATTGCATGAAACTACAGCTAAAGGTTATTAGTCGCTGAGAAAACGATTGACTTTGTCACAGAGGAGCGCAGGGTTTAAACGAGCGGGGACTTAATGCTCACTCAAGTAGAGGGCAGTAGTGATGGAGAGGAGAGAAATAGGTGAGAGGTTTGCCCAATAAAAGCCAAGTCAAGTAGAAAGCTGGCATTTTCCAGCAAAGTGTCTTAAAATAAAGTCATTTAAAGAAGCACCCGGCAATCAGCAGACACATCTACTCATTACAAGTGTACACAGCAACAAACACAGCTGCAGGGTGGCACAGTGATGGTCTGACAGGCTGAGAAATGTCTTCATTCGCTAGTAGAAAAGCAGTACTCTGCTTATGTGGCAGGTCTTGACTTGTGAGGGTGTTTTCCTGATTGTGTAGGAAGTAAATGTCTCAACTCTGTAACATATTTGCGTTGTGTGCATGTTTTCTGTCTGTAGACATTTGTCACCGTTGACATCCCTTCTGACCTGAAACCACCCAAGACAACAAAGAGCAAAATGTCCGTCACATTCCTTGAGAATATCTCCATGTTCCCGGCTTTCTCTCTGTCAGCACATGAAACTGTAAGGAGATCCAATAAGCTTTTAGTTTGCTGTTTTGTTTCCCCTACTAAGTCCACTTTCCCTGGTTCTCTGTGTAATGTGGTTGTTGGATGGTAAACATGTCTGTGGGTAAATTCCAGGTAAGCTCCAAGGAGGCCAGACCTCTCATGGATGTGGTGGAAATCTCAGTGGAGAATGAGAACATCACTGATCTGCCTGAGCCGGTCAAGATTTTCTTTGACCATGAATACATACCTGTAAGTTTGTTTGGTTGCTTTGAATGTTTTGTTGATGTCAAACCTTCTCTCTAATAGTGTATTTTTCCCACACTTTTATAATAAACCATGCAACAATGCTGGTCTCAACCAACGTTTATACCAGCTGTTAACTGGTGGAAGAGTAAAGCAGGGAAATACATTTGCATTTCACACTTCATGTTTCTGTTGTTAAAGTTCAATTGTAAACCATTTATTATTTTCCTTCCACTCGACAGTAAATGCACAATTTTGTTTTGGTCTATCAAAAAACAAAAAACACACAGAGGTTTGTGGCTGTAAGACTTAGTTAGATCGTAAATAAGTTATTGGGTTTTTGTGTTAGTTTTCAAGGCCCGGTGTGCAGTGTGTTACCGGAGAAAACTACAGATGTAGCTTATCTCTAAATCTGTTAACAAAAAAAACTTCTTGTTTATCACTCAGAGCGATTTAGAGAACACGCAAAAACCACCGACAAGTTTCTCTCCTGCTTGTGCAAAACCAGGCGGTAACTTCACCTGTTGCTTGTTCTGTGCAGCGCACACGACTGCTCATCAGACTGCCATATTCACATTAGTTTTTTTTGTTTTTTTTGTTACAGGAAACATGCAGTTAATTTGTAGCTGTGTTTGCAGCAAACATGGGTCCAAAACTTTATCTGTGTGAATAAACCTTCCTGTGTTTTTTCTTTTTTTTTTTTTTTTTCCAGTGGAACCTCAGAAGAAAATGTGTTTCCTGGGACACTCACAGAGGTTGGAAATGTTTGAATCAAGATTACAAACTGATCATGTAACACTGTGTTTTATTCAATAATGATCCCATTATTGATCCCAATAATGATCATCTCATTGGTGCAGATCCTTTGGAGGTGAACTGGTCGACGTTCGGATGCAAGACAAAGAGGAAAGGATCACGGCACACGGAGTGCCAGTGTGACCATCTGACTTACTTCACAGTGCTGGTGGTGAGATATGCTGCTCAGACTCTTCTTAAAAAAACAACAACAAAAAAACTAAGAATCGGAGAGAATTTTACTTCTCTTATATATAAAAATGAATTTATACAATGAAGATTTTCTTTTTTATTGCACAACACCTTGTTTCTCTACTCATTGCACTGTTTTCTTGCAGCAACTGGAGCCTAAACCGGTGCGCCACCTATTGGCACTTACTGCTATTACATATGTAGGCTGTGCAGCGTCCTTCATCAGCTGCGTCGGGCTCATCGTGTTTTTCTGCAGGAACAGGTGAACTGACTCTGAGCACATAGACGTAAATCCAGAGTTTCTGCAAGTTTCACTTAGTTGAATTTAGGACTTTTCAAACTTCATGGTTAATTTATTTTAGGATCTACATGAATTGGGAAAAATGACTTCAGGAAATTAACTCTATCCTTTGTTATTATGTAGCAAATCAGTGGAGTCTTGTGCATCACCAGTGACTTTCATGGAAAACCACTATCTGGTACTTTGAGCTGTTAAATCTAAATCTCTAGCAGAGCTCCGTACCTCTGTGACAAGCCTTCTGATTGGTCAGAAATACCGCAGCAGAAATAGAATGCCTAGTTGTGACTGGTTTATGGCCAAATGTCTTTTTTTCTTTTAAATCACTGATGTATTCACATATCAATGCATTTCTGTAACCAAGGCCATCGCTACGTTTTGCATCTACAAAGTTGTGAAAATCTTGAGAGAACTCATCACCTCTCTACTTGGAGAATGAGAAACCTTCTCATACCTCATCAATGAGCAATAATTAATGCTTGGTTTATTTATCTTATTTGTATATTTGCTGTACCATTCTGCTTTATTCACTTGTTTATTTATATTTGCTGGTATGTGTGGATTAGTTGGGTTGTTATTTACATCTGGTGTGACATTCATGTCAACAGACCCTCTAGAAATACTTAAACTAAACAAAATAAAACGTTGGTCTGCTTGGATGTTTTTTCCCCTGTTTTTTTCTCCTGTGTTTGTTCTCTGCTAACCTGCTCTTGTCTCTTCCTGTGTCCGGTCAGGAGACGAACCAAGGAGCAGTCTGTAGCCATCCACCTGGGCTTAGCTCTGGCCCTGGCCCTCCTCAGCCTGCTCTTCTTCTTTACTGGGATTCTGGCCAACGTGGGAGGTGACGATGTGTGCACCTGGGTGGGGGCCTTGCTCCACTACGCCCTGCTCAGCTCCCTCACCTGGATGGGGATAGAAGTGCTTAACACCTTCTGGTTGATCTACATGGTGTTCAGACCCTCCCCACGGCCCTACGTGTGGTACCTGATTGGTTTTGGTGAGCGTGGAAAGCATTATTTTACAGTATGACCTTTGTCTTAAAGGTGAAGCCATGTTCATGTTTGACCTGTTAAACATTCTGTCCCAGTCCTCCCAGTTGTTCCTGTTGGTATCCTGGCTGGTGTGGGGGATATTTATGGAATGGCAGAAATTGAGCCGGATGATGACAGAGATGATCCTTATCGGATGTAAGCTTTCTCACATCTGATCCAACATAACATCTGACTTTTTCTGGGTGGTAAATAAAAGAATCAAGAGCTGTGAGTTACCAAAGGGAGTCCGTAGCCTGAAGCTAACGCTGCTTAGGAGGCTGTGGAATGGAAAAGTTTCAGAACCCATAAAAGTTGAATTCAGGATTATTCCCTTTGACTTATTTTTCTGTTTTTTGCAGGTGCTGGATGAAACTGAATGAACAAAATGCCTTACTAGCTCACTGCTTCACCACCATGGCGCTGCTGGCCATCCTGGTGTCTTCTGGGGTCGTGATGCTCTTCCTGGTGTTCCGGGAGATCCGCAACAGGGACGAGTGGAAGCAGAACCGGGTGGCTTTCCTCAGCATCTGGGGTCTCAGCTGCCTCTTTGGAGTAACCTGGGGTCTGACCTTCCTGACTATTGAGCCACTGTCAGACTTTATCCTCTTCCTCTCCTGCTTCCTGAACTCCTTTCAAGGTTTGTGTCAGTGGTGACCATCCTGTCCTGTTTGCACTTTTTATGGTTAGTTTTTGCTAAAGCTCAGGGTTTATTATCTCGCGTGATTAAATTCATTTTTTTTTTATTATTTTAATCTGTTGATGCACAGGGACACTCATTGTTGTCTCAGAGAGATAAGTTCCATTGTATCACTGTAGGAATGATGGAGTGCTCGGGTCTTATCAAGGTCACTAAAAACTGCTTCCTCTCACATGGACCACACAAGGTTTTCATCCAGATCTAAAAGTTACTTTCAGTTCCCTTTCTGTCAGCAACATTCCTTTTCATGAGAATAATTAGCACTATATTTCCTTAAACTGAATTTGTGAATGTATTGAACACAAACAGAATACAACAAGTAAAAAAATAAAGAAAGAAAGAACTGTAGTGAGTATTTAGCATGCAGTCAACATTTATATTTTTTGTCCATATTATCCTTTGGATTGTTCTGGGTCAGTTCTTTCTCATTATTCTGCTTCCATTACCTACTCATAAATCATTTTGAACCAAAACTGTGACCTAGTGGCTGAATCCTCTTTCTGTTTCCAGGTTTCTTCCTGATGCTGAGGTTCTGCATGATGAACTGGGTCCGGAAACAGGCCAGCAGGTCGGTTCTAGGCAGCACCAGCTCCGGGTCCGTCAAGCAACACATGCTGCAGACGAGCGAGAAGAGCTAGCCGCTCCGAGTTCAAGGTGTGAGGTCGACTGTGAGACTCAGATCACTGTACATGACAAGAATCAGTCCAGAGGCAGACTTGTGAGCTCAGGTTTTCTGTCAGTTTGTTACGTTGTGATGTTCATACACAGAATGAGCACTGGCTGAACCAATAAGATTGATACAATCACTTTGAGGCAGAGTTAAGTGGTAGAACCACTGACTTAGAGTCAAGGTTGTGATGATGAAATGGTATGATACTCCTAACATGCTACTGATATTTCATTCCATTTGAAGCGCTTCTCAGAGACCAAAATCTATATTTAAGCTTTTTTATATCAATTTTTTTCAACATATTTTATTTAATGGACCTTATAATAATCTATCAGTTATATCACTTTTTTGCAGCAAAGAACAACTGATTGTGTCCCGTGTGGGTTTGGTTCTGACTACAGATTGTTTTCTAATGGACCTTCTTCCTGCAGGTCCCATTAGATTTAGATCCTGGAGCTTTTCACAACACACCAGCATATATAGCAGCTTCACATGCTGACACCAGTCAGCTGTAAGTGACATCATCTAACTTATGGCCTATAACTGGTCTGTGAAAACCATCAGATGTTTATAAGTAAAGATACTACCAGAATCTGACCGTTTTCAGCTTGATGGGACGCTGACAGCTGAGTCCTAGAGTGTTTTTGCAGTCAGTGAACGCACCATAACAAAGTCTATTATACGAAAAAAGTAGCTAAAATGCTAATTTTATCTGTAATGCTAACATTAGCATAACGGCTACCACAAACATGTTGATCGCACTCTTTGGTGTGGATAAATTCTCAGGGGGATTCACCAGGAGACTGCTAGTGATGCTACATGCTAATATAAGACTGTTTCAAATATCCCCTCCACAATAAGTCAGTGATTGTTTTAAAATAGCGGCGTCTTTTTTCAATGTCCGCTCACAAACACCCACACAGTGTGACATTGTGTCTGATGAGAATATAAATAATCGAGGATTGTTTCTGGCTGGAAGGTTGTATAAATATGTACAATTCTATAATTACATCGTGAATCAGCTAAAATCTGCCTCTGCTGAGAAAAGCCGAGGAAAAGTGAAAAAAAAAAAAAAAGTTTCCCTAGCAACAAGGTTGAAAAAGTATCATCTGGATCTGGGTTTCTGTAGAAATGCATCGCAAGGTTACTGTAGATGTGAATGCTGATGTGACGTCTAGTTAAACCACATCTGACTGGTCAGACGTTTTAAAGAAAGCACTGATGGGAAGTTATCTTATTAATTTTTATTGCTTCTCTTTCTCTTAAGAAAGAGAAACAATATTTAACAGATGTGTTTTTTCCTATTGGTAATAAGAAAAGTCATCACTGCAGGGCCTGTTGCTGTGAAGCTACAAGATAATTCTTCTTTGTTCCCTTCAGTAGTTTTGGTTCTGTTTGGGATTAAAGAACTGAAAACACAATATTAGGAAATTTTTGTATTTTCTCTGCTTCATTGGTGTCAGTTTCACATTGAATATATAATCTGACCTCCTCATTTGAGACGCAGGTGCTATTTTTACACACGGATATTTGTGAATAAACAGGAAATCAAGGTTGTGCAACGACTGTTCCATCTGATGAAAATATGAAAGAAGAATATGCGGGGTTCTAGCGCATTACTTCAGGTGTAAACCGGTAGAAGTAGTTGATGAGTTGCTCGTATGGAAGAACCCGCCTCCCAGTTCCTCAGGAAGTCTAAACTCAGGCCCGGAGCCTGAGCTGCAGAATCCCTAGGCTGGTTCTAGATGAAAATTAAACTGCTTTGGTTCAGATTTAGAATCATTTAGAAACGTTGTTAAGCTTTATTACAACACAGAAACATGAAGCTTAATGTCTGTATGCTACTGTGCTCTGATTAGATGTTATTGTTGAAGATAAGCTTTTACATTTCAGATGTTTCCTCATTTTGTTCTGTGCTTTTGTAATTGATAGTTGAATAGTGAAATAGCACTTTAGACTGCTGTTAAGTTGCTTAGCCTCAGTTAGTTTGATGTACACCCAGTGGGCATTAGTAATGAAAAATGAAATGTTTTATACAGAAAATGTGATATGTTTTGGTGTATTCAGGAAGAATAATAAAGTATGGAATGTGTTTTAAGTTAGAATAAAACAATTTACTGCTGCAGAAATAGTTAAACCCCCACATTTAGAATTTTGGTGAATAAATGATGTTCCTTCCCAGAAGAACACACACGTTTTTAGATGCTGTAATGTTTGCACTTTTTTATTTTGAAAGAATATTTTTCAGTCAAATCCTTATGTATATCTGACCATTTGTATATGTCTGCAAGGATTATTAATAAAACATGTTTTGGTGTTTGGCTCATATTCTCCTTCTTGCCCATTTATTTGTGCTTTTTCATAAATAAACACTTCAGATCCAGAAGTTGCTGACTGTTTTTTATCATCTATGTGAAAACCAGAGAGCAGAATGAAGGATAAAACTAAAACAATAAAATATATTTCAGTTCAAAAGAAGTTCACTTTAAATAGTTAGTAAAGAAGTTTGTCTGTATTGCTTTATTCTGGAAGGTTTTGTTTTTGTTTGACATAATCTCTTAAACCCAGTCATATTATTTACATATTTCCTGTCTACATGAAGACGTTAAAGCTCTAAAGGTCTTAAGAGCATGGGCAGAAATACGGTTGCATCTTATTTGGGTTTTAGGTGAGAAACCAACACAGTGGTGCATAATCGAGAAGCTTGTTTTTATGGATTATCTGAAAAGTAATCTAAAAAGTGGGGATCCTAAGGATACAATGTGTTACTCTGATACCCCCAAATAAAATGTTGTGTAACCAGCTGCTTTAAATTTGTAAATGGACTTCACTAAAACAAGGCTCTGGTCAAAATTTCCAATGCACCATGAAATGTAAAGAATAATTGGTGGCCCAACGCATCGAGAACTAAGCTGCTGCTTAGGGGCCCCATACCATCAGGGGCCTCCCATAAACGCTTGAATTTTAACACAGATCACAGATATAAGTGTTTTATGTTTTTATTGAGAATGAGAATATGACTCAGTTTGATTTGATTGGTTCAGTAGAGATAAATTAAAGAGATTTTAAGAATATGATTTTAGGGAATTGGCAAATTTAGTTTGTAAAAGTGTAAAGAATAATCTTGTCTAGTTACAATCTGATGAAAGAAGAGTAATCTTTATTTTTGAGCTTGGCTTGTTCACACATACATCTCAATAAATAATAATTAATCCATGATAGCTTTTAATCTCAGCCAATTAAACATGACTCCCTCTCCCTTAGATTTTGTTAAATCTGACGGAAAATGTTCAACAGGACTCCAATCTGGGTCTCAGCTCATCTAGCAGGACAAGGATGCTGAACATTCAACCAGTTCTACAGCAGGATGGTTTTGGCCAAAGTACAGCGATAGGTTAGTACAGTCCAGACCCAAATACGACTGAGAATCTGGGACTTGAAAATAGCTCCTCAGATGTTCTTTCAAAGAAAAGAAAAAGGAAGAAAATTTCGATGTACAATGCTTGTAGAGACCTAGTCCAAAAGACATACAGCTGAAGGTGATGCCACAAAGTCTAAATTGAAGAATATGAATCATTTTTCCCTTCATAAACATGCGTTAAATTGTGTTAATCTCATATAAATCCAAATGAAATACACTCGTGTTTGTGTTGTGAATATGGTCAAATGTGGAAAAGTCTTAACCTCTGCGCATCTGGGATCTTTGGTGACATCTAGTGGGAGTAACTGTACACTACAACTAACCGTAAAGGTTTTTATTTTAAAAGTAACAGCAGAATCTCTCACAAAAAAGCCCCTCTGTTATTAAAATGAAACCGCTGTTTTATAGTTTCATTTGATATAATTCTGAACAATGGTGAATAAGAAAATATGGAATGAGTCGATGATTCCAGAATTGTGTGTGTGCATAACAATAATAGACAATTTATAATAAGCATAAAAACTTCAAGCAAAAACTTACAGTTTACTGGGAGCAGTGATGGTTATGAAGGCTAACCTCTGCTGGGAGGACAGATCTCCTTTAAAGCTACTTTGTGCACATGGAATGCAGCAGTCTGTCACTGATGGAGCTCTCCAGTTCAACTACAGAGTCATGCAAAGACATTGTCTAACAGTGATGTTGCTTTAACCAGAGTTCGACTATCTCCCATCACCTACACTGGGTTGAAGGGTCATCTGTTTTTTTATTTCATTACCATCATTTGAGTGATGGAGAAAAAATATATGTTAATTTGTAAATAAATCTAAAAGAATAATAAAAAAAGGCAAATAGAAAAACTTAAAATAAAACAACCATTTTTTTATTTGAATGATTACTTGGTCATCTTTTAAAAATGAACATTATTCAAGTATTGAGTATTATCTAACTTTTATTTTATGTTGTATTTGTCTTTATTTTTGTGTTTTGCTTTTGTGTGATTTAGGTCTGGACTTTGACGTATGAAAACTGTCTGATTTAGTTGTTCTCAACCTTTTTAAAACATTTAAGGTTTCAGTAAACACAGTAATTGTACCATTGCCACTATTCAACTGGATAAAGAGTCTTCCTTATGCTTTTCTCAATACAAAATTTCTATGTACTGATGACACAAAACAGATTTAGAGTTGGTAAAATTCTAAATTTTACCAACTCTAGGAAGGTGGGAAGGTGGGAAACCTTTCCACCTTCCCTAGTGGGAAGGTTTCCCACTAGGCCTGATGTCAAAATCCAAAATGACTGCCTAGCATATACAACTTAAAACAGTTTCAGCAAAAAACATTTCATTTACACTTCTACCAATAAGTGTCTCATATCAGCCAAAAGTGGTACTTAAGTACAGTTTTCGTGTATCTGTACTTTACTTAAGTAGATTTAATAATGGATACTT